GGCTCTTGAGCCTTTTTCCTTCTATAGCCGATATTACTAGATAGTATAATTTTGACTTTCATAGTATTAATGTAATTTAGCGCCCTCTACTTTCTCTAAAAAAAATAATGATAAGTAACTGATAAAATTAAATGTTAGAATGCTACCAAATTCTTATTCGTTCAGCATCAAAAATTGTCACACTTAAAAACATCTAGACCGGTGGACATTATCGGGATTATTTACCACAATAACCACGTTTGGCAAAATGGCTAACCACACTGTTGTACACAAAACTGAGATTAGGAGAGAAGCTCTTTAGTTCAATATTTTACGCACTGACTTACTACATAGGTACCCAGTGAAGTGTTGAAGAAAAACTTCGCGGGCAAACCTAAATGTCGGAGTAGTAGTTGAAGGATTGCGTCATACTCTTTTCTGCTCACAAACACTATAGGTAATGGGGAGCCGTGTGCACAGTAGTGCGACGTATGTAAGCTGCTACTTTAGTTTTTATACCTTTAATGAGACTTATAAATCAGTTTGTTGGAGTTTTGTATTTTTGAGTTTTCATATTATCAGAAAAATCAAGATTTTTGTGACAGTAGTGGTTTCATAGCTCACACTAGATATGGAAATGAACAGGCTTTTTTTTTTATAGAATATGGGGCAAACGAGCATGCGGCTCACTACCGCCGCCCATGAGCAACCGCAACACCAGGGGAATTGCAGATGCGTTGCCGGCCTTTTAGAAAGGTGTAAGCTCTTTTCTTGAAGGTTCCTAAGTCGTATCGGTTCGGAAAATTCGCTGGTGGTAATTGATTCCACAAAGAAGTTGTGCGAGGGAGAAAACTTCTTCTAAATCGCACAGTGGTGGACCGCCAATCATCCAGATGGTATGGATGGTAACGCGAGCTTTGTCGCGACGTGCGATGGTGAAATTGAGCGGCTGGAATTAGTCCGAACAATTCCTCAGAGCACTCCCCGTGATAGATGCGATAAAATACGCAAAGAGATGCAACATCTCTACGCAGTACCAGTGTATCGAGCCGATCGGAAAGAACTCGGTCGTCGACGATTCGAATCGCTCTGCGCTGGATGCGGTCAAGTGGAAGGAGCTGGCACTGGGATGCCCCGGCCCAGAGATGAGAACAGTATTCCATGTGGGGCCGAACTTGCGCTTTGTAAAGTTGCAAGCGATGTGCCGGCATGAAATACTGTCTCGCTCTGCTGAGCACGCCAAGCTTTTTAGAGGCCAATTTGGCCTTCCTTTCCAAGTGACCACGAAACTGCACGCTATTCGATATGTCGACACCAAGGATTCCGATACTGGCTGAGGCAGCAAGGGGAGTGCCTTGAAACTGAGGAGATACGACAAAGGGGTTCTTTTTAGCGGTAAACGCGCAAACTTGTGTCTTCTGGGGATTGAACTGGACTAGATTTAGTCGGCCCCAATCCGAGACTTTGTTAAGCAAAGACTCGACTTCAGACACAAGTTTGTCCCGGTACTCGGCGACGTTTTCCCGAGAAATATTGGCACGGCCGGTATATAAGGCATCCCCAGTGCTGTCGTCTGCATAGCAATGAATGCTACCAGTTAGCAACATATCATTGATATGCAGGAGAAACAGCGTTGGTGATAGCACGCAGCCTTGTGGAACACCAGCGTTGATAGGCTTGTAATCAGAGCATGCACCGTCTACTACGACCTTGATGCTCCGATCAGCAAGGAAACTGGTGATCCATTTGCACAATTTATCGGGAAGCCCATAGGAAGGAAGCTTCGAAAGAAGCGCCTTGTGCCAGACCCGATCGAAGGCCTTCGCTATGTCCAAACTAACGGCCAATGCCTCCCCCTTGGACTCTACTGCCTCCGCCCATCTATGAGTTAAGTAAATTAGAAGATCACCTGCTGATCGACCCCGACGAAAACCGTACTAGGCTGTTGCGAAAAAATACTTTAAATATCGAAGATTGCAGATTTTACTTAAACAAAGATATATTTTATTTTACTTGTCAAAGGCATAGGTAAATTTCATAGTACATAACCATTAATATATATTTTTAAATGTATGTTAAATGCAATTTGAAGTGTCGATTTACCACGTTCTCGGCGGTGAAAGAAAACCTGAATATCTGAGAAGTTCCCCAGCTGAGGTGATCCAGCGTTAGCACTTTTTTTGGCCAAAAGCTCTGTGGCCTGTGCCCAGTAGTGACATGTATGTAGGTCGCTACTTTTTTAGTTTTAATGGGCAGTTATGCTGTTTTTATATCATTTATATTTTCGGAGATGTTACGTTTTTGTTTTCACACTACCGTAAATATTAACGGTAGCAAAGATTCGAAGGAAGAGAACTCATCACCGTTATCATTACAACCTATCAAAAGTTCATTGAACTGAACATAGGTCTCCCCATAACTTGTCAAATAGGCTGGATATTTGCTATAGTTGCCACGCTTGGCAGGCAGGTTGGCATCCGCAGCATTTATAATTTTGAACTGTTGTCAGGAACATGATGTTCCCCATCTCCTGTTTGTTTTCCTCTATCGCCTCTTAGGACACACACGGAACGATATGAGGTGGCGGATTCTCTTTCGCCGCCACAACGAGGCGAATATTTTTCTGCTTTCGATCATGAGTGTAGTTCTACCCACGTTCACTGCGAATAGAACTTCATTTGTAATAAAAGTAATCATAAGGATTTTAGCGTGTTTAATTTTAACTTTTATAATTGATGACGTTTCGGGCAATATACAGAACCCATGGAGAGGGGGGTGGGGGTTTATTTGTTGTCTATCAGATCTGATATAATAGTTGGGACGATACTCAACATGTTGACACACTTTCAGACTTCTCGGAGCGTCGGTGCTTCACATCAGCAATATGTTGTTTTACGCAAATTTTTATGGAACTTTCTTCCAAAGATGTCTTTTGTACAACCCGCTTAAATAGAAGTTAAAATGTAACGTGATTTATTACAATTTATTTTATCATATGTGTAGTATTCATCATTATCAGAACTGCATTTATGAAATTTTGAAGTCTACTCGAACGTTGAAAAAAAATCAGAATCTATTTTATGGTGCCAATCAATATTAAATGGAAACAAAGATATGAATCAAATATCGCATATAAGACCATGAATTCATCATTATTTTGATAAAAATAAATTATAAATGAATGTAAAGAGTAAATAATAATAGTAAATTTGGATTCCAAGACAATTTATCTTTGTTATGGATAGATACATCGGAAGACACGACCAATATAAAAAAAATTGTAGATATTTCTAGACATAATATGATATTAATGTAATTCTAAAAAAGTTATTTTTGCACTTGTCCCTCAATCATCTAGGTCCAATAGTCTTTGGGAATTCAAAAAATTCTAGATTCTAGACACACAGACACCGACTTGACTCTAAAAGTGATCGATCTTTACTAAATTTGGCGTGGAATACATTTAATGATGTTTCTAAAAAAGAAAACCACGCGAGCGAAGCAGCGGGTAAAAAGCTAGTAATAATATAAATATATAAAATGCATATTGAAATAACAAAAGAGTCTATGGTTATAATAATCATAACAGAAAATCAAAACCCGAAGAAGCAAATAAATCACTGACTTTGAAAAAGGAAAAGATGCCTCAAATGTAAAAATTTTTTGAATTTAGAATTCCAAATAATAATACCATATCTATTACAATTCAAACTGGCTAGTTCAAGTAAACCACAATTTCATAGGTAAAGAACGTGTCAGATGAAATTTCATATTAAGTTAGAAATTTTTGAAGTTTGGTTGTAATTTTATGGAAAATATTATTTAACAAAAGTATAAGAATTGTTAAGGAAATGCATATTTAATGTTTAAATTATATTTAGTATTTTGTTTTTAAGTTTAAATTAAATGTATCCATATATTGGAAGAAAATATTAAAAAAAATTGAACATCAGTGCAGTAGTTGCAATTTCAGAAACTGAATTTGTTGCAACATTGTGTGATATATCATGTGACATAAAAACAGATTTCACAAAATAATTTTTTCATACAGATTTAAAGTATAACATAGTTGACAAATAAATATATCGATATAACAGACTATCGAACACATCTAAAAGTAAACGATAGCAAATAAATATTCGTTACTCAACAAGATAAGATTCGTAACATAGCTCTACCTTTAAACGAATACAAAAACACCTGATAGTAACAAATTAATGTTCAGCTGCTGCAATATCAATGAGGTGAGGTGAACATATTTGTCACGCAGATGGTCACACAGTGTATGTACATTCACAAAATAATGCCTAAGTGCTGTCTTCTTAAATTTTTTACACATTTTTACCTTATTTAATTCCACTACGCTTACGAATAATCGTAGTTTGGTTTATCCATTTCTAATCAAATTAAAATAGAGTAATAGTTATATTTAAGAAAGGAACATTAATATCCCTACACTTGAATAAAACTACTTTTACGTTTTCTAGCGCGTTTAATTACATAACTTGCTTTTAATTGATTCCCGACGTTTCAGGTGCTTTAATACGTCGGGAATCCGTGAAAGTAGTTTTATTCAATGTGTAGTGTATAAGAAATCATTATCTCTATGTACACTTAAACAAATTAACTTCCCCGCTATGAAACCTGTCAAATATTTTACATCATACCAAAGTGGTGCCGCCCTGGTGCCAGAGAAAGTCATGGATATCATTAGACAAACATATACAACAATAATTTCTATGTGGAATCATTTTTCTGAGTAAATTTTTATTATTTAGATTTCAATAATTCATGCAGATATAAACGTACAGTTAAGTTTATATTATTTATTGTTTATGAGAAAGCAGACATCGAATAACACTGGATAGAGAAAATTTAGATACGATATTTCAAAATAACTTTTAACTGTTGATGATTGAAGTTTTCACTTACGCCAACTCTTCTGTGCTGTAAGTATCGGGAGCTGCATAGTACATAGAAGAGAAGAGAAGAGAATACAGGAAGAAAACGTGGGCAGCGGCTTACTTCTGGTTGTTGTCATCACCACTCACTAGTTGTAGTGGGTCCGGTCCTGTGGAATTATATAACGTTAAATGCTATTTACTACGATGATGGTTGAATTTTGAGTCTAAGGAGGCTTGTAGGGTAAATAGTAAGCGCTATTGAACAATATTGCCGACAATCATCGGTACATTTATTCTCTTAAATGATTTATATATACGATGTTTGACTGCCTCGTTGCTTAAATGGTCTTAAAAGTGGTTGCTAATCATGAGCTCCCGGGTTCGAATACCGGTCTGACCAAAATCAGTTATTGGCTTTTATCTGTCAGGAAAATCACAGTAACAGCCCGGTTGCTTCTTCTGCGTTCCGTATGGTGAGTGTAGAGAACCGGAGAGCCTTTTTATTGAAAACGAAGCATTCAACCTTAGTCTTTAACGGTGAATACGTATCTGCATTTTGATTTTTAATTAAGAATAAATCTAGATGTCTGTGGGCCACATCCACTTACCATCAGTTGCACTGTGTACTCGTTTTTGCACTCTTATTCAATAAACAAAAACAGTGCTCGTGCACACACTCGTGAACCATAATCCTGTGCTGAGCAGATGGCTAGTCTCCGTTGAAACTGACCGCCGTGACCGGAATTCGGTCTGGAAGGCATTATTATTATTAGCAGCTGGCATGTGTTATTTATGTCATTGTTTAACCTACAGACATAATGGCGTAGCTCTTATTTAACGAGGTTTGCTTACATTTAAAAAATATTATTTTTGTACGACGTTCTCAAACTTAATTAATTTGTTTTCTAATTAATCAAATATAATACAATACACGTATGTTTTTTTATGGGATAAGGGTAACAAACTAACACACAGTCCACCTGATGGTAAGTGGTTGCTGTGGCCCATAGACATCTACATCTGTTTTCGTTTGCGAATTAAAATACGGATGACGTGAGGTCTACGATAGAATGTCTCTGTTCTAGTAAAAAGGGTCTCCGGTTCTTTACACTCACCATACGAAACACAGCAGTGTTAAGCTGCTATTTTACGCTGGTATTCTGTGAGAACGTGGTCCTTCCCCGGTTGAGGCGACCCATTCGTGTTACAACTATACTACTAATATAGCAACATAACTCTACCACGTAAATAAATGTAATATAAACCAGAAATTACTAGATGGTGAGTTTCCTTATCTATCTAGAAGTCAGGCTGTGTAGGTACCATCTTCCTACCTACTTGTGCCATCTAACAGCAAACCTATATCTCCACAGTTGGCTGCGCGTGTCCATGTTAAAAGACAAAGTTATAGCTTATATAAGTCCACTGCCGAGCACGTGGTAAATCAGCACTTAAAATTGCAATTCACAATTTCATTAGTGCCGACGGGGATGATACCTGGGTCGCTCGCGTACTGTGAAATTAGAACCGGCAACGCATCTGCAATTGCCGTGGTGTTGCATTGGTTTATGGCCGTTGGTAGTCACTTACCATCAGGTGAGCCGCAAGCTCCTTTGCCTCCTCTCCTATAAAAAAAGTAAACAAACGCGTAGGCTCTGACTTACCACAGTTCCACCTACTATGGACGGCAGCTGTCCATGGATTCCAGTAAATATTTACCGTCAGGAGGACTCTCAAGTTTGTCTGTCACTTTAGTTTTACGAAAAAAGTTTTCTTTATTATTTAAATACTAGCAATGCAATTAACATCACTAACATGCCCTGTGCTGTACTCCTAGTTACCTTAAGATGCTTGTATTAGGAGTGGTTCACGACAGTAGTTGGATGCCAGACTCGAACCCACGACCTTTAAAGTTCGCGATCCGCACCCCGCTGTTAGGAAACTGTCGCTTCCCAAGATTGAATAAGGCGCATCGTTAAAGTCATAGGTTTACAAAATGGTACAGAAGATATGAAAATACTTCACCTTCTTGATGATTGCGTGACCATTTCTGCGGCATTGGAACCGGAGAATTGGAGCACGTCTTGAAAAGTAGTGCTGTTGTAGTAGGTCTACGCTTCGCGTGGTTGACGTGTTTGGCTATCATCGAATATTCTGTACAAGATACAAATTGATTTGTTATAGAACAAAGGTGGTAAACGAGCACAGAGTCCACAAATATTAAGTGAATGCTGTGGCCCATAGTTATCTTCATCTATCCTCGATTAAGAAACGAAATGCAGATGTGTTTTCACCCCTGAGGGTTAAGGTGGACTGCCTCGTTTCCAGTAAAAATGGTCTCCGGACGAATAGCAGCATTAAGCTGCTATTTATCACTGGTATTTTGTGGAAGCGTGTTCATTCCCCGGTCGAGACGCCGCATTAAAATATTATTAATTGATTACACTTTCGATTATTGTTTCTTGGTGAATCTCAATTAGATGATTAATTACAGAAGTGATACTTGTACTAGTTTCCATTGTGGTTCTTTATATTAATATTTGTTCACGGCCGCGCCTTACTTAGTTTCAATTTTTTTTTCGAAAAATATATAAAAAAAGCTGAGTGTCTTGGACATTGAGATATATGTACTACGTACTAGAGAAGCCATTCCAAACAAAAATTGTGTCCTACTCTATGTCTTCGCGCATGCGCGGGAGTAGTAGTCGCGCATGTGCGAAGACTTTAATTTGATATAAAATAAGATATTAATATAAAATAAATATAAGAATTAAAATAAAATATCTTAATTTAATCTAAACAAACATATTTCTAAATAAAATGTAATAAATATTATTTTATGGAATTCACAAATCTTCAATTTACGCAATAAGTATTTAGTTTGTATGGATTGCACTACAGTTCAGTTGAACATAGTCAATGTCCGGAAGGGCTTCTCTAGTACGTAGTACATATAACTCAATGGTCTTGGAACACTCGGTTGGAACGAAGTTCCTTGCGTAGTATATTATTATTGATAAACGTAGGTATCATATTATTGATTGACAAATACTGACAAATACTTAATAAATCACTTACTAGCGTCTATTAAAATGGAGCGTCATTTGAAATAAAATAATATTTCTTTCATGGCAAGATAAGAAAATGTGCGAGGGAGATGGATATTATTCCATCTCACTTCCTTATTTCGCCGCCAAAGCCGTCTACACTATGACACAAGGAGTAGGGACGAAAAAATCTTACACCTTTTGTCGGCTAGCTCACATCTGCCAAACCCGTACCGTCCGATAAAGAACTTCGTTCCAAAACACTCGTTGATTCGTCAAAATTGTGTCAAAATTTCATAATATTCGGTGAATAACTACCGGAGACTATAATATATATAAAATATTTGGAACAAAAGAATATTTACATGTTTATTTATAAAGATTTAGATAATGGCCGCTTGATGACTTTTCGCAAAGCGGGAATACCAAATCCCACAAAAATCTAAAGGGAGGATACTTATAATTAGAACTTACTTAAAATTGGATGTCCATTTTCGACAGATGAAATCCCAGTAAATGGCTTCATGGTAAAAATGAACCGCTACCCCGAATTACCGAAGGTAAAATGTTCACTTAAGACTTCAAGTACCTGTCGGCAATAATCTGAAAATAAAATAAATGGGTTATTTCTGCTTTTTTACCAATAAATTTTTAGCTACGGGAAATTATACTTATTCCTTATAATAAATGATAGTTTAGTTACAATAATATTAGGATACGTCATGCCTGTAATCCCCAAGGGGTACTTCAAAATGCAGTCAGCTAGCCTGACCACTGTCAACCAAAAAAAAAATTGGTTTAGATGGAAAATTTTGAAAGAAGTGACAGCGTATTACGTTAAATAGTCACACAGTGTCATCACCATTGTAATGTTGCAATTTAATTATAAATTCATCACATCTGTATTTATATATACCAAAACAATGCCCCAGTACCGTATTCTTAAAATGTTTACATATTTAACTATTTTCAAATCTTCAAATCTTAGGAATATCAGTAGTTTGATTTATACATTTCCAATCTTATTCATCACAACTATATGATCACAGTGGTAAAAGGTTACTTACTAGTAATCTCGGAGTAAACTGAGTGGAGACAGCTAGCCCGGGAATTCGGATGCGACTGGTGCACTATCGATTAATTTGTGGGCGGGAACGGGGCGAAAATGTTTGCTATACTGCTGTATAAGTGCTATAGCATTGACACTGAACGCGTCTGTGCAATATTGATTACTGTCAGAGCAGGACAGAACATAGCTTTTTTTATTTTACTTATTTGATTTACTGTATTGGTAATATTTTACTGATTTTTTAGGCTATGTCAGTTAGTCTGGTTCCACTGGGCATATCATCACAAATTTATATGTCATTGGTTCTGCACTTTAGTTTTCAAGTATTAAAGTATACGTTATAAACGAGCACACATTCCACCTGATGGTAAGTGGATGCTGTGTTCCATAGACATCTACATCTAAACCGTAAGGAGCTCCAAAGCTTAACTCCAAGAACTAAAAAATATTTTTATAAATAGTAGAGAAGTAACCGATATAGTTCAATGGATAAGTAAGCCGAAGTGGCAATGGGCCATATATTTCAAAGAACCGACAATCGACAGGAAATAAAGGTTCTCGAGTGGCAACCTCGTAGCAGTAAGCGAAGTGTATGGCGGTAATATATGCAGGAATTCGATGGATGCAAGTGAGGAGCGTGTTTTGTGGCATTGCTTGGGAGAGGTCTATGCTCAGCAGTGGACTTGTGAAGAGTTGTAATGATGATAAGGTTGGGAGGAGTACAAAGGACATAAAAGTTAAAGGTTTTGTCTGGACCGAAGAGAAATATTATAGAGGAGGTGATTACTTGAAAACGTTCTTTAAATACATTTTGTAACTCAGTTTAGCTAAAACATACGTACCTTTTAAAATCAGGTATTTTAGACAGAAGACACCGTATGCGATAGCTTGGGAGAGTGTTAGTATTCACGAAAATTTATAATCTTTATACCCCGTCACCGTTCGAGTTTCATATCTTCATCGTTTGCTGTGTAAGCCGCGCGCCAATGGAATGACCTGCCTGAAAAATTAAGATTATATGTATGTGTGTATGTACATATCTTTGTAACCGCCTTCCTAGTTCTATCACTGGCCTAAGGTTGACTGTCAGAGAATACTTTTAGCATTAAGTCCACCTTTTTTTCCTGTACTTATTATGTACGACTCAATAAAGTTTAAATAAATAAATAAATTTTTAATCGATCGCTCCTTCATCCAATTTATATTCTATTTTATTATATTTTTGCAATACGGTATTTTATACGTAGCAGAGCCATGCTACATAAGTTTGTAGCACAGATAGTTCGGCTCGATCGGGAAAGGACCACGCTCTCACAGAATACCAGCGCAAAATAGCAGGTTAATGCTGCTTTGTTTTTGTATGATGAGTGTTGAGAACCAGAGCCCCCACAGTAGTCCACAGGTATGACACCGCATCTGCATTTCGATTATTTATCGAAGATGTCTATGGACATGTAAATGTCTATGGACCACTGTAAGCAATCACCATCAGGTGGACTTTGTGCTTGTTTGTCACTTTATTATATAAAAATCTCATTTAGATATATAATGTTTATATTGTTTTTTTAGTTTAATAATATAAACATTTAATAAGATAAAACAGGAGACTTATATCTCTTAGAATGTTGTCTTTGTAAACCGTGTAGAGGCGGTGTGCTTAGAGTCCAGTGTTAACATATGATCTGCAGTAATTATAATGCCAGATCTCATGAAGACGTGTAATTAATAACACCGGTTCAGGTACAGCTCGCAGTAACTAACCAATATATAATATGATATGCCTTAAAATTTAAACATTCTCTCCCAATAATAAACTTAACAAAACTGAACCTGTACACAATCCTAACTTTCGTGTTATTTTACTTGGAGAACGATTAATTTTGTACCACACCGATGTAGAATGTAATTATTTTTATATTATGCAAAAATTTTCTATCTTCTTCATTTCCTATCTTCATAACCTTTAATATTCTTAATTGGCATACACGTAACTGAAAATTGGCTGTAAGATAAAAGAGATACGTCAACACTCGCAGGATTAAAAGCAAAAAACAAAATGATTAATTTACCGTCTAAAATGCAAACATTTATTTCATAAAGGACTTATAATTCGTTCAAAATACGGCTCTCCATTTTTTATGCTCCACAAAATCAACGTCGCAATACATTTCCACAACTTTCCGTGAAAATACACAACGACGCAGTTAACACTAGATGCACACAGACAGCCTACAAATCGATACCTCATGGTCACGCCCTTCGTCTCCCTAGGAGCAATTACTCAAGGATTAAATTTTGGATAAGTTGGTTAAATAATATTCAAATTATCCAAAAATTCATACATAAGACGAATTCTTCATTTATTGTCTCTATTCATTAATTATAACTCATCAAAAGTTCACTGATGAGCACATTCATCCCGCATAGATTGTCTCATAATATATAGTATATACTATGTGTTTTTATGGGAGAGATCACCGTCGCCCATGAACATCTACAACTGGGGAATTGCGGGTGCGTTAACGGCTTTTAGAAAGGAGCAGCTCTATTATTGGTAGGATTCCTTCCTTACTAATAGCTACTTGTCATCACAAGGAATATATCGTATGTCACTTCAATTTTTTTTTAAAGTTGCCACGCTTGGCAAACGGCTTGGCAACAGCCGTTTTTTTATTATTGAAATTCGATGTATACGAGTATGATTGAAGATAATTTTACGTCATCGCTAATACCGATAAATATTTAAGTGTTTGTTTGTAATGTCAAAATAACATATTTTTACTAAATGCTTAAGAAAGTCTATACGGTACCTTTAATAGAAAAATAATTTTAAAAATATTCTGTCTGTCGATCTGTTTTTCTGTCTGTTTGTTCAGGCTAATCTTCGAAATGGCTGGACCAATTTTAACGGGTATTTCGTTAGCAGATAACTGATGTTATTAGGAGTAACTAAGGCAATTTTTTTTTTTAGAAGAACAATTAGGGTACGGCGCAAAAAATTAAGGCTTATTTAATCCAAACGTAATAAATTCCACGCGGGCGAAGTCGCAGGAAACAGCTAGTAAATAAATAAAAACGCTACTGATAATTTCTTATTCTCCTTTTCACGAATGTGTTATCTGATATGGATAACATGAAGAAGTGGCAGCCGCAGTTTGTCATTTTATGTAAGTTGTTATCAGGAAGATGCTGCTGTCAGTCCCTTGTTTCAGTCTCCATCTGTCGCCTCTTAACACGTCTGAGGGAGGACATACTATTTATTGGAAACGAGGCATTCCACCTTAGTCCTCAGGGTGGAAACGTATTGGTTCCTAATCGAGGATAAATGTAGATATCTATGCGCCACAGCAATCACATACCATTAGGTGGCCTGTGTGCTCGTTTGTCACCCCTATATTATTAAAAAAAAGATTAAAAGAAATACTGCGCATTGGACCCTCCCAAGCGGTAATCAATATTAATATGTGTCGTCTCTCTCGCTCTCGCTCTCGCACTGCACTGTTGTCCGAGCCGCCGCCCGGGACAGTGGGTCGCGAGATCTCCTTGTTTATTAAGTGCGGTGTTTGGCTTAGATTTTTATCTGAATGGATCATAAATAAATTTTCGTGAATAGTAACACTCTCCCAAGCTATCGCATACGGTGTATTCCGTCTAAAATACCTGATTTTAAAAGGTACGTATGTTTTAGATAAACTGAGTTACAAAATGTATTTAACCTTCCAGCGGTCGCACCCTTGCGCCGAACTTAAGCAGTCGCGCGCGGTCTCTGATTCCGCAACTTTAAATGTCTTGTTTGGGAAAACAAATGAATATTTCGACTTACTGTATAACAGATGATTAAAAAGAGGTCTTATACATGTAAAATAAAATAGAAAACATATTATTTATCCGTTATTTTTTTATTTGTACTTAATAGAACAAAGGTCTATAAAAACTCAGAATTATTGTCTCTGGTTGAAAATCAACGTTATAAATCAACAAAAACAAAACAAAATGAAATTGTCTTTTTTACTACTTACAACTTATAAAATTGACTATAATTATCTTAGAAATAAATCAAATTCATTGTCAATGGCACAACTCTAAAATTGCATTTATTTTTAGATCATTCTATATATAATTCTAGTTATGATCTAAATTATAATAAAATAAAATAAAGGAAACATACCTAAAAGCTACTAATTATTATTTTAGGAAAACTATAATAAACTATTGGTCGTTATTATCCATAATATCTACTCGAGATGAATTTTCTCGGCATATAACAATCACTGTTATATGCCGAGAACTATACTTTGTTCTGCGGTTCTTTTTCCTATCGCAATAGCAACAACGACGTGACGTTATCGTCATCGCTGTCACTAAGCTCAGCATCCGATTGAACATACTCATCGTGTGTTGGCAAAATTTCTACTGGGTTGTCTTCTTGGCCCGAAACGTCATCAAAGACCTCATCT